GATATCTTTAAAACAGGAGCAGCTAGGATTTCAATTCAAAGGGATTCTTAACCTAAAAATATCAACAAATACAACCCTGCTTTCAGTTTTTGTCGACATTTTTATGCAACCTATCTTTGCTTCCTGCCCACCAAGTACAGAAGCTTTACCAAAAGTTAGTTCACCAAAATTTTCACCTGCTTTCTCTGAACTCGCACTCGCGACCAGTTGTTTAGCGCGCCAAAAGTACTTTCTGTTGTTATTTTCCTTTTATTTGGGGCTTTCTCTTTGGATCGCCAAAAAAGGAAAGGAAAGAGTTATTTTTTATATAAATCTATAAAAGTAGTTATCTTGACTCCGCTACGTTTGTGACACTGTCTTTCACTACTGCAGGCAGTTTTCTTCACTGCGAACACACTTTAGGGTAACAAATCGCCGCTTTTCCAATATAAAATTACTGAAAACGCAGAGTTAAAATTTTATGCGCCCACTTCACTTCACGTATCATACAAGTGGTATGATAGATTCTATTGTGAATTCCTTGGTAAGATAAAATACCGGAAACTAGTTTGAATAAATCAGTTGTTAACCTTGGGATATTTCTATACGAATTTCTGTAGAGCACCTACCGGGTGTGTGGTTTGTACTTGATCTGAATGCTTAAATTAAATAACACACCGATTTGTTTCTGATAAAAATATTATGTCCTGGTTATGTAAAATAAAACTAAAAAGTTCAAAATAAAACAACGTAAAAAAAAATTTTTTTGAAAACAAGCTTTTATTTAACATGTACAATCAAAGGAATAAAACAAACTTTTTTTTTGCAAGAAAATTTTGTCAAAACTGCATTAAACTGAATAAAATAAAATGAGTTAAGGTCTCGTTAAAGTTACTAAAAGCCATTTAGTGAAAGGAGTTACTCAAACTCTAATGAAAACTACTAACAATTTGTACTAACTTACTTGGTTTTTAAAAAGCGTGTCGGCGAATTCAGCGTACATGCATAATTGGTTACGTATGAATATGTACGTATGCAGATATTAAATCCGGTTTGCTATTTTAAAATCGAAGTAAATTAGTACAAATTGTTAGTAATTTTCATTAAAGTTTGAGTAACTCCTTTCGCAAAATGGCTTTTAGTAACTTTAACAAGACCTTAACTTATTTTATTTTATTCATTTTAGTGCAGTATTGACAAAGTTTTCTTGCTAAAAAATCTTTTGTTACAATACTTTATTTTATTCCGTTTATTGTACATGTTAAATAAAAGCTAGTTTTTAAAAAATATTTTTTTACATAATTTAATTTTTATTTTTTTCCTTTTTTATTTTTTGCTTTTGTGTGTCTACATACTTGTAATAGGAATAGCAAGTGTAGTAAATTTTAATCATTATGATATTACAATATAACGCTGTACTAAAGCATTAAGCTCCTGAATTCGGTGTGTATGTTATGCTTAAATATGCTAGTAAACTTCATACGTGACTATTACGTATACATAGATACGTACATATATGTACATACCAGGTATGTTGCGAATGTGGAATTTTAGACATCCGTGGCTGCGGATCTCTAAAAGCTAACATCTGCGGATGCGGATTCGAATGCGAGTCTCAAGTATTTTTGCGAAATAATTTAGGTAAGTAAATTAGGTGATTTTAAATAGCAAAAGAAGGGGGACGTAGGGGATAGTTTTGGCACAAACGTTTTTAGCCAAGGATCCAATGTATATTCCTATAAAAAAAGTATTGTCCGACAAGGCCCCGCAAGTAAACAAAATTAATGTTTTTTTAAATGTTTGCTAAAAAGAAATTTCCCAAAGAGCTTCATTGGAAATGATGGCAACGAATATAACATCAAAAGCAAATCACGAAAAAGTGTATTAAAATTATAGTGCAAACTCTCTTCTTTCACGTCTAGTATTTTCTTTTAAGATTGGTCCACAAAACCATAATATGTGACCTGGTCTACGAAAAAGGAGCTTACGTGCGAAAACTAGTTTTCTGTGAAAAAGCTGTTAAAAGTAAGAAACTCGTTTCGTTTACTCGTTTTTACTCTTCTTTCTCTACATTTTTAGTACACTTCTAAGCAAGTTAGGATTTTCTGCTTTTCACCACGTGAAAAAGCATCTCATCTTCCATCCGAATCAACCAAAAAGTGAAAATTGATTTTTTGACACCTAAGCCCCCTTTCCGTAGACCAGGTCACATATATAAAGAAACAAATGATCAAGTTTAAGTGGGACCTTGTATAACTGCTCATTGATAGCTCGGTTATATAGCTTACGAAATAATAGGTTTAAAGACATTTTTACAAAGTTGATAAATCTGACTCTTGACCAGTTTTGTTACACAAATACTCCTAGGTGCGGCAAAACATATTGGCTAAATTTATCATTTTATTTGTCAGATACACATTCGCAAAAGCTCCGCATTGATTATTGCGAATGCGAATGTTAAAATTAATGCGGAAGCTCCGCAGTTGCGAATGCGAACACATATTAGTACATATACATATAATTTTGTTGAAGACTGCTTTTTGTACATATAGTTGTGTGATCTTGCATATATGGTCCCGTTAGCGGTTAAATATACCATGTACTGCTCAGCACTGCGGTATAATTCAGCTACTTTCGTGTTGTTGTTACGCAATACATACTTGGAATTGCATGGCGTGATTCAAAACTGTTACTGCGTTATTTCGTTGCACCAAATATTCTTGTGTCCATAACAAATGTTAATATTTTTGCAGGATTTAATTTTACCCCCACACTTCTTTTGTCTGTAGTGAATGTTTTTTAAATTTTAAATTTTTTTTTTGCGTGGTTCCAGCTTTATATTTTGGCACCCAATCTTCGTTTGTACATAATTAATGGAAATTAATTAACTAAAATTTTTGTATAGCTTAAATTTTATATTTAAAAGAAAAGTTCTTTACACCGCTTTCACTTCACTTCAATATTATTTATTATGTCGATTATAATTGAGAGAGTAGGCCTCTATGAAAATACGCTGGCAGGATCTCCAGGTACAATTAACAACGAACTGATTACTTAGTTAGTTCATTTATTACTGATATTCGTATTTAATACATAAGTATAACGGCAGATTCATAGACGTTTTTATAGGAAGGCCTGGCCGTATTCACGATGCGTGTCACCATCTTCCACGAGAAATCCCGCCGTCTTCATGTCAGCGAGAATATCCATTAACAAATTCTTTTTTTTTTTTTGGGTCACGAAACTTACCTTTCCTTTTTCTGTATTCCTCTCTGATAAATAAACAATTTTCAGGTAAAAGTGTTACCGTTTTTGAAATATTTACATTTTTTTGAATTAAAAAAAAGCATGCCTTTTCATGTATTTTCTTTACCTGCATCCACAAACCAGTAGTGCAATTCACTAATTAACGATACGATTTGTCGAGGTCTAATATAACGATTTTTGTGGTTTGCAGTAACGATTATTTGGTAACTCTTTTTGAACGACACTAAACAGCTGACATTTTCTTTTTATTTCAATAAAAGAAAGGTGGCATCTCAGCTTAACGAAACGTCAAAAAATGCGAAAAGCACAAAGAAGAATAACGAAAAACAAATAAATTCCTTGCTTGCAAAGTGGTATACACATAGTTTTCTGAATATTTTAATATACTTTTACAAAAAGTAAGTAAAATAAAACGTTTATTTATTTTGTATTATTAGACATAACCATTTTCGCATATTATAGAATGGCTTCGTCAGTACCCAGTGTTCAAAAGAGAAGCAGACAATGACGGGAAACAATCCCATTAATGAAGAGCCACCCACTGAGCTTGAGAGGCGTGTGATTGCCCTTGTCGGTAGTGACTATGTGCAGGGCCATGAAACTGTTGCTGAAAGTGTGCCAGTGGAAGAGGTAAACAGCAAATATATCGTTATGAATAGCACAGCATTTAACAACTCTTCCCATCATTAGGAACTCCAACTTCGTATTGAAGAGGGTGATGAAAGTGTCATCATCGAGATGCCATCTATTTCCCAGGAAGGGAGCATTGAGATGTGCACATCGACTCCTATAACTCCTGCAGGAAAAACGCCTCGTAGAGGTGCAAAAAGAAGGCGTATGGACGGTGGTACCGAGGCCCAAAAAACATTTTTGGATATTGCTCAGACCCAAGCAAATGCCTTAAAAGTAATTTACGTATTTGTAACTTTACATAAGTAAAATTGTATGACCTAATTTTTTCGGTTCTTTTTCAACAGATGCTAGCAGAGTCGAGTGCAGCGAATGTACAAATAGCAGGTAGACAAGCAGATGCTTTGAAGGTAATTTTTTTTACATAAATACTAAAAAAATAGTATTACATTCGTATGCTCTTTCAACAGTTGTTAGCTGAAACAAGTACGGCGAGTTAGCGAAATCGGTGGCCGAAGCTATGAACACAATGGGGGAAGGTTTAAAGGCATGTGCGGATGCCTTTAATAATTTAACAAACGCTATCTACCTCATGTAAATATTGTGTAAATATGTAGTTTTTGAAGTAATTTTTTGTTTTAATATTTATGTTATTTTTAAGCGTTTTAATTGTAAGTTGAAGTTCTTTTTTGTTTTTATATTTATGTTAGAGTTAAGTTTTCATTTGATATAGCATGAAGTTCCTTTTTTTGAATTTATGTTAGAGTTAAGTTTTAAGACATAGCATGAAGTTAACTTTTTACATTTAGAATATTTAACTGTTCAAGATATTTGAAGAAGAATTTTTACAAATTTGAATTGATCTTTATTTTCAAATGAATTCAATGCTTACAAATTTAGTTGATAGAGAGTTATACGGTCTTACTGCATGTAAGATATACCACATATATTTGTTATATACAATAAGTAATGAAATTTCATTTTATGAATTCATGTTTTAATTTTGTGATGCGCCTGTAACTTGAGCGTGCTTTTACGTGGTGTTTTAATCCACGCCATATCATATTATAGAAACCGATCTGTGATTACATACTGAGATCTGTCTCTTGATGGACCCTATATCTAATGAATATTTACATATATAATTCTAGACTTTAAAAAAATGTACTCAAATTAAAGACAAAATAAGACTGAAGTTATTGATACAAGAGTTTTTATTTACATAAAAATGTTTAATAAAATGCCAAAATAATTTTATTGTATTCCTCCTGAATTTTTATTTATCAACGTTTTATTCATGTAAAATAATTTGCAATTAGCCGGTCTTGGACGCGTTTTGCTGTTGAAGACGGCGCGTCTTGATTTACATTACTCCTATGTGTCCTTGGCTCTAGGAACTCAGTCTCGTATGTTTGGTCACCCAATCGCAAGTTATGCAACACTGTGCATGCGTTTACTACTTTTCCACTAAATCCAGGATCATACAAAAGAGTCCTTTGCTGAGATAAGCCAAGTTCCTTTGAGAACGCCAAAAAGTCTTTCGACTGGGTTTCGAGCTTTGCATAATGCCTCATTGTAGCGGAATTTAGGACTCCCTTCTGGTTGGTTAGGTAGAGGAGTCATCAACCACGGCTCCAAGGGATATCCTGAGTCACCTGCAAATATATATTCGAAATTTTCAATTAAATTGATTTTAATAAATAAGTTTCAGTGGATTTAAAAAGTTACCAATCAAAAACATGTTATGGTTTCCATTTTCAAAACTTCGCTGCATAACTCTCCGGACTGCAGAGGAGCTCCAAATAAATGAATCGTGTCGCGCTCCTGGGTATTTAGCATTGACAGCCAAAATCTTTAGATTTGGATCACATATCTATGTTTGGTTAAAATAAAATTAATTCTCAGTAGTTTAACGCGTGAGCAAATTTTACTCTTACCATTTGCACATTGATAGAATGGTACCCATGGTGGTTGACATACGCTTCTTCATGATGTTTTGGGCTCATGATTGACACATGAGTGCAATCGATAGCCCCAATAGTACCTCCTACAAATGGTGCGGATGCTGAGGCGAAAATTTCTTTTGCAGCTTGCCGCTCTATTTGGGTCATTGGAAACCTAACCTTTGCCAAAAACATGGTGCGGTTTATTGCATCCGTTACGCGATGTATACAGCGACTTACGGACGACTGGCTCATGGATATCCTCCATTGCTCTCCGACGGGACGTTGATAACACCCAGTTGCGAAGAATCGCAAGGAAGTTAGAACATTTAAAATTTACAAAAGCATTTAAAATTGAAAAATACTTGCAAATTACATTATTTACCTGTTTCTCTGTCCTTATCGCAGTTATTCTTCGACCCCTTAATTGGCTATCAAGCTGGGAAACAATATCTTCAACCAAGTCTGGGGTTAATCGGTAAAGGTTACGAAACTCAGTTGCAGCCAAGTCGAAAGGGTTGTCCACTTCTCGAAGCAAACGTCTATCCACTGATGAAGAGCTNTGGTTGTCCACTCCTCCAAGCAAACGTCTATCCACCGGTGAAGGGCTTATTATCTCCTCATCTTGGGATAAAACGTATGCCAAATACTCAAATGCCATTTTTAACAAAAAGTTTTTCTTTTATATATTACTTAAGTAAATTCGCGATCTTTGTTATTTTATTTTAACTCAAATGAAATATCAAATTTTCTTTTGTCGATGCCGCTAACAATTTCAAAATATTCGTCGTTTACTTAACGAGTAATCTAGTAGTTAACGACAACAGCTGTTCAAGCGATAGCGAATATCGTTAAAATATGTTTAGCGAATTGTCAAATCGTTAAAATCGTCGTTAGGTTTTCTTAACGATTCGGTAATCGTTAAAATAGAATGGCGAATCCCACTACAGGTTATTCCTAGTAAATTTTTTATGTAAAATACTTCCAGATAGTTGCCTCTCCATACTCAAATGCAATGTAGTTAAAATATATTAAGAAACCATCATAAAATTAGGACTATTTTGGGATTTTTAACTTTTTGATATTTTCTTCCCCAACTTTGACTATCTCTGGTGAAAAAAAATTTACTAAAAATGTTACATCACATAAAAAATTGCCCATTTAATAAAGATTTCAGAAAGGTGACACTCTTACTGTTTCGAATAGAAAAAAAAGTTATAGCCGCTTTTGTGGGCAAAGGACTGAGACACGCCAGAATGTATTTAATAGATTTAAATTTAAGTTGCTCTTGTTACCGACTAATGACATGCTAAATAGTACAAAGGTACATTATTACCTGCTCCTGATATAATATTATGTTACTTACTGGAATTCGGACTAGAGTCTATAACAAGGGCTATATCTATCAATATTTTTTGTGAAGGATGGGTTCACGTGAAATAAAATATACATGAGTTGTTTGAAAAAAATTTATTCATTTATTGATAAAATATGCTCAAATTGGCGACCTTCTACTAATACAAGCTACCTTTTAAGAAAAGACGATTTTAGAGATCTTAAGCTCAATTGGACTATCTCAGCAGCAGCTCCATTTATTTGTTCCCGCAAATGCTCTTCGTTTTGAATTGTTTTTGAATAAATTTTGTTCTTAAGACAGCCCCAGGAGAAAACATCGAATGGATTCAGGGCGGGCGATCGAGCGGGCCACGTGATTGGCCCGTATCGTCCAATCCATCGGCGAGGATAAGTTTCGTCTAAATGAGCTCTTACTTCACGTCCGTAGTGAGCAGGGCACCCGTCATTTTGCAGCCATAGTCTTCGCCGCAGGTTTGAGGGTACATCTTATAAAAGAGTTGGAAGCTGTCCCTGAAGGAACTATAAATAACTGTGAGAGTTGAGCGTTGGCGGCAGTTCCACAGGTCCCAATATCTGACAATTAAAAATACCGCACCATAAATTTATTTTGTACCGGTACTGCGAACGAGGATTGTCTATCTGCCAACTGTGAATGTTATGTAAACTAAAATAACCATCACGTTTACATGTTGATTCATCGCTTCAAATTATTTTATTAAAACAGTTGGGGTCTGATTCATGCATTCGCAACATTTCACTGCAAAAGCTAACCCTCGACAGGTAATCTCTTTCTTGTAGAGCCTGAACACGTTGAATGTGGTAGGGATGGTATTTTAAAGCTTTGTGAACTGTAGTTTTCGGTATTCCAGTCCGTCTTTCCATCATTCTCCCTGAAGTGAAGAAAATTACTTACCTTCAGATATTTCTCTATGGGTGCGGGGGAATACTTCACGACCCGGATGCCGACGATTTGGGAATCGCTCTGCATAGAGTCTCTGAGCAGATCTGGCATTACAGCAAGCTTCACCGTAAAAAAGGTGAATATCCGCATATTCATGCGATGTAAACTGCGTTTTCTCTGTCATAGTATTAATAACACAATGTTCGAAGGGTCCAATTTCACTAAATCCACTTTCATTATTTCCGGTAAGTAACAAAAAATAATGTCAGGAGCCAATTATAATGTACCTTCGTACTATTTAGTATGTCATTGGTCGGTAACAAGACCAACTTAAATTTAAATCTATTAAATACGTTCTAGCGTGTCTCAGCGCTTTACCCACAAAAGCGGCTATAGCTTTTTTTCTATTCGAAATAGTAAGAGTGGCACCTTTATGAAATCTTTATTTAATGAGAAATTTTTTTGTGTAATGTAAAGTTATAGCTCAGTACATTTTTTTCACCAGAGATAGTCAAAGTATAGTCCTAATTTTATAATGGTTCCTTAATATATTTTAACTACGTTGCATTTGAATATGGAGAAGCAACTATCTGAAAGTATTTTACATTAAAAATTTACTAAGTATAGCCTTGTTTATAGATGCAGTTAAAGAAAATACATGAAAAGGCACGATTTTTTTTAATTAAAAAAAATTTAAATATATCAAAAACGGTGACACTTTTATCTAAAAAATTTGTGCTTATCAGGGAGCTCACCACCCCAACTGCCTTCTCCTCAAGTTTGGCAGGTTACTTCTGGGACACCCTGTATATCTGTAGCAACACATCCCTTCGTATACTCCTTCAAAAGACTTTTATCTAAGGATAAAGTCGGATATATAAAAACAATCAACTGCAACTTAATCAACTAGTTTACCAGTTTGAATCCTTATGTGGACTTTCTGACTAACGGTTACACAATAGATGCAACGTTCGTACTGTGCGGTCACTTAAACTTTCGCTTGAAAAATTTCCAAAGTTTAACTCTTTTACAAAGTGCTAAGCAGTTCTAATTTGTGTTATTCACACCGAAAAAAGTTTACTGAAGCCAAATTCCAATAAATTGACTTGATTTAGTCATAAAGTGCGTTGATTGAAAAGTTTTATTTTGTCGGCCTTCGTGCATATTTGCCTGTTTTGGTGCATTATTG